AATCATTTTAACATTTTAATTTTACATTGGTATAAGTTAATTCCTGTCCTTAATTCTTACTTACTGTTCAAAGACATTGACATTATAATACTTCTCTATTAATTAAATTGATTACAATTACTTAAATGTACACAAATAATGATCCTTCATATGAAAATGAAATAAATTTTTAATTTAAGAAATAAAAATAATTAACTAATTGCCGTGTATAGCAATTTCCCAAACCCTATTAGAGATATACTCCTAATTGGAGTTCAATTTGCAATGTAAATACAAAGTGAGGGAGGTGACGCAAAAACAAATTAATTAGATTTTAATCAATATATATATATATATGTATAAACCAATTTTTTTACTGCTAAATCCAAAGCCTTCATCAAAACCCTTATAAGTCTCCAACTTACCTATTTTTTTCATTTGCCAACAAATTTCACATTTTCAAAATAAAACAACAAATACCTAGAAAATTTTAGTATAAATACCTATTTAAAAATATATTAATTTTATTTAAAAATTTTTTAAAATTTGTACATTAATATATTTATTAAATTAAAATTTATTCTACAGAATGATAGTAGAATTAGAGTGTCGATAAGTATTCCACTAAAATATATTTATTAAATTAAAAAATTAATTTTAAAATTAAATAAATTTGTGCCAACTCCCTTATCTCATTTTTAATTTTTAAAAATTTCATTATCAATTTATAAAATTATACCATCGTTTTTTAATTTTAAAATTTTCATTATCAATATATAAATTTATAGCTGATGCATGAAATGATAATCCTTAATTTATTACTTTCTTGCATTTTTGTCTACTATAGGAAGAAAAAATATTAGCCTTTTTTTTTCACATGCATGGTTTATGCGGTATTGCACTGTAGGTGACATATAAATAAAGTTTATTAAGTAAAATTTGTAAAGTTTTTTATTAAAAATAATTTAATAATAAAGTTAATAAAAAATCAAAATCAATAGATTGATAAAGTTCAAAGAGAAAATTAATAATATATATAATAATTATTGAAAATGATATTTATAATTCAAATTTGATTAATATTTATTTAATAATAGAAATTATGTTAAAATTTCTAGTAACAATACCTATTTAAAAAATCTATCAATTTTATTTTAAATTTTTCAAATTTTGCTCAATAATATATAATAAAATCTTTTAATTTATGCCATTTTGATTCCATCAAAGATACAATTCAATTAAAAATTGACAACTCACTTTTGGCTCATATTTCTTTTAAAGATCGGGCTATGTGCAATTCCTTGGGGTCTTGAAACCTTGAATTAAATGTATTGTGGTTAAGTAGTTTTGTTTAAACTATTGTAATGTTTAAAGTAATTGATGTTGTTTTTTGAAGTAGACTCGATCTACTGCTTTTTTGGATGAATAAAGACTTCCGACGTCTTCCTGCAATTGACATTGGCGCCGATTGAAATGTTTCAATGTTTTTGCTTTTTCTTTTCTTTTCCTTTCTTACGTTTTTTTACATATTTTTAATGTTTTCACTTTTCTCCCCTTATATTTTTAATCCTTTGGCTTTATCAACATCACTTTTCTTTTGTACTAAAAAATCTATGATGAAGAGAGATTTTTTATTCAAAGTCAGAACAGATTACACGTACATCAAAGATAACTTATATTAAATTTACATTGAATAGTGTTAGAATTAGTTACCTAGAATTTTGGTAGCTTTAAACTCAATAAATATATAATGGTAAGGTTGCACTTTGTTTTGACTTTCTATTAACAACAACTACTTATGTGTATTTCTACATTTGTTGAAATTGATAATAATCCTATATGCCATAAAATCAATTATAAATCATATTATTGTTATAATTTATAAAATTGTAACCAATATTATTATAAAATTATAATTCATACAATTTATACTATATATTTTTGTATCTAGTTGGTATTTTTGTTTTTATTGATACCACATAACGTAATAATTTATTTTACTATAAAAAAACTCTTTATTTAAGGTTGATTATTTTTAAATCAGATGCCTTCTAAAAAAATTATTTATTTTATGCTTTTATTTAAATATTCAATTTTAAATTGATTTTAATCTCGTTGATATAGTATCCAATCTAATAGTTGTTTTTAATCTCACCAAAATTAATCTTATCATCCATTCAAGTGAATCCTAAATGATTTTTAGTACACTAGAGATGTCAATCCTATCCAAATTTAATAAAAATTTAAGTTTTTATTTGAATGAAAATAAAAAAATATTAAATTTTAGAGATGAAAAGGAAGATGTGTATGATTTTAAAACTTTACTTGCAAAATTTCATTTAATGAATTTTAGTCTTTCCTATTTAGTGTTGATTGACTCTTGTGTATCCTCTCACCTATAATTTAATTAGCGCCATGAACATGTTAGAAATGAAAGGTCAAAATGAGAGGCCAAAAGAATTAGATAAGACTCCATATTGAATAAAAGATAGGTTTGAACCAAATTAAATGAATAAAAATTTATATAATTATATATTTAAGAATTGTTATTTATAAATTAATTTGACTGTTGGTTTATGGTCTATAAGGTTGGTACCGTCATTTAATAATTAAATATTTATATATATGTAGATGATAGAGCTTTTTAAACATTTATTAATTTTTATAAATATATTATTATAAAATACATGTCAATTTTTTAATTTTGTTTATAAAATTTATAAAATTTATGTTAGATAATTTTTAATTCATTAATTTGTCTATGTACTTAATTTTTTTAATTATGACCTAATGATATGTATTAATCTCAGAAACTCATTTATCGAGTTTAAAATTTTCAATGATGTATCATATAATTTTCATTCAAAAAAATTATCATGAAAATTTTATAACCCATACTTTTTATTAAAATAAGCATGAATTAAATTAGAATATTCATTTATTACAAAAAAAATAGAGAAATACCAATAATCAATATTTATGAGAGAATTTAAAATTTAATTCACTTAATTAAAATATTAGTATTTAAAATTTTTTTATGTTGTAATTCTTTTATAAAAAAAATCCAATGAAATTAATTTAAACATAAAAGACACGTCAGTATTGAAGTTGCATTTTTGCAATGAATGTTTCATAAAAAGTGAAATGGTATAAAATGGAAAGCTAGAGTTGACAACACCACTCAAGCTTTGCTCTGTTCTTTGTGGGTTGGAGACAGCCATTGCAATTGGGTTGGAATTACCTGCGATAAGGCTACAAGCATCACCAATCTAAGCCTTCTAGATTATGGGTCCGCACACAAAATAATGAAATAAAAATTTTATTAAATATAAAAAAAATTATTAAATAAAAAAGAAAAAAATAATAAAAAGAGATGAATGCCATGTAGCACCCTAAAGAAAGGCCATACATTATCAAAATTTATTGTTTAGATACTTATTTAAGTTAATCATTTAAAAGTTATTTAAAACTTAAAAATGTATATTATTGGTTAATTTATAATTTTTTGAAAATTTTTTGATGCTTTTAAAAGACAATTTTATAAAATTGATCAATAATTGTTTATATATTCATCTAAATAGTTTAAATTAATCATTAAAATTGTAGCGATTTGACAATATTTATCACACAAACATAACAAGTAGCGAAAATTAAACATAGAAAACTGAATCCAAAATCGAATCTATTTGTTGTGAACATCATAATTGGTGTGCATATATTTCCAAACATGAGTTTAGTTCATCCCAAGTTATGAATTATAAAAAATCTAAGAACTTACGACACGTTTGGTTTGTAAAATGAAATAAAGGAAGAATGAAATTTGTATTTTGTGAGAATAAAATGTAAAAGGAATAGAATATAATATATATTATGAAATTTGATAATTATAATAGAACAAAGGAGGAATTAGTATTAATATATTTGATTAGTTCAAAAAATATGATAGAATAAGTTCAAAGAATATGATTAGTTCATAGAGTATGTTTTTATGTAAATCATTGTAGAATTTTAACTCTTCTAGATAATATTGAATCTATAAAATGACTCAAATTTTGAACTCTTTAAATTTTAAAATTTAAACTTGAAATAATCTAATTTAATCACCAATTTTTATTGACTTGCCAATTTATCAGTCAAATTTGATATTTTTTTATATAGATATTTCTTATTGTCAAATAAATATTAATCAAAATTGAATGATAAATAATATTTTTTTATTTTTTTTACATTTTTATAAATGATATCCTTTGACCTATAATTCATTGTGCACCATGAACATGTTAAAAATGAGAAGCCAAAAGATTTGGATAAGATTCAATATTGAATAAAAGATCAACCTGAACCAAATTAAATGAATAAAAATTTATACATTTAAAATTATTATCTTATATATTGATTTCACTATTAATTTATAATTTGCATAGCTATCGCATCTTCATTTAATAATTTAATTATTATTTAATACAATTTGATGATAAAAATTTTAAATTTAACAAATAAAATTAAATGATTTGTATGCATATATTTGTATAATAATTAATCAATTCATTAATTTTTATAGATATTTTCTTAAAAAACGTATGTCAATTTTTTTAATTTTATTTATAAAATTAAAAATTTTTATATAAAATATTTAATTCTTTAATTTCTTTACATAATTTTTTATTTATGATCTAATTGTTTATAGTAATCTTATAAACTCATTTATAGAATTTAAAATTTGATTGATGTATAAGATATAATTTTCATTTAAAATAATTATCATGATTTTTTTTTAACATTTGATTAATAATAAGTGCAAATTAAAGCTAAAATTGTCCTTTAAACGTAGAAGACCAATAGTCATCATCTAACAAAATTAATTTAAACGTAAAAGACCCGTTGGTCATAAAATTATATTTTCCCACTTGATGTTGATGTTTCGTAGTGACAAAAATGCTCTTGTATTTTGCATAAATACCTGACCATGCTAGCCAATGTAATTTAGAACAATTAACAAAAGATTCTTTTTGAGCTATCCAAATCATGTCATCTTTCTTAATACCATTCAAAGTCATGTTCTTCCTCATACTTGTCCTGCTTCACTCTTCCTCTGTTTTTGCTTCTTCATCCTCCATTGCTGCACTTACAAGAGGAAAAGAAGCGGAAGCTCTTCTAAAATGGAAAGCTAGCCTTGACAACAACACCCGAACTTTGCTCTCTTCTTTGTGGGTTGGAGACAGCCATTGCAGTTGGGTTGGAATTACCTGCGACAAGGCTGAAAGCATCACCAATCTAAGCCTTCCAGATTATGGGTTGAAAGGTACACTTCATAGTCTTAAGTTCCTTTTCTTCCCTAACCTGATGAGGCTTAACCTTTGCAACAACTCACTGTATGGGCCCATTCCCTCACACATTGGGAACCTTTCCAAGCTCACCTTCCTTGACTTGTCATACAATAACCTTTCGGGGAATATTCCATCCGAAATTTGCTTATTGAAAGGTCTTGAGTTGATTTCCTTAGCAAGTAATGAGATCAGTGGTTCTATCCCCGCTTCCATAGGAAACTTGACCTACTTATCTGTTCTCCACCTCTATAGAAATATGTTTTTTGGATCGATACCTCAAGAAATAGGGATGCTTAAATCTCTCACTGACTTTGAGTTGAGTCATAATAATTTCTCTGGTTCAATCCCTGCTTTCATAAGAAACTTGACCAATTTATCCATTCTCTACCTTCACCATAATATGTTTTCTGGGTCCATACCTCAAGAGATAGGGATGCTTAAATCTCTCACTTACTTTGAGTTGGGTCGAAATAATTTCTCTGGTTCAATCCCTGCTTCAATAGGAAACTTGACTAGCTTATCCACTCTTCACCTCTATAAAAATATGTTTTGTGGGTCGATACCTCAAGAGATAGGGATGCTTAAATCTCTCACTTACTTTGAGTTGAGTCAAAATAATTTCTTTGGTTCAATCCCTCCTTCAATAGGAAACTTGACTAGCTTATCCATTCTTCACCTCTATCAAAATATGTTTTCTGGGTCGATACCTCAAGAGATAGGGATGCTTAAATCTCTTACAGAATTTGTATTGAGTCAAAATAATTTCTCTGGTTCAATACCGGCTTCCATAGGAAACATGTTGAAGCTTACGAAAATATTTCTTAGCTATAATAATTTATCAGGGCCAATTCCTTCAACGCTCGGCAATCTTACTCCTTTGGAAGCATTACAATTAGCACATAACCATCTCAGTGGTCCATTACCCAAAAATTTATGCAGGGGTGGACAACTCGCATATCTTTCGGTTATCAATAACAATTTGACGGGTCATATCCAACCAACTTTGAAAAATTGCAAAAGTTTATACAGAGTTAGGCTTGAAGGAAACAAATTTACAGGAAATATATCAGAAGCTTTTGCTGTGTATCCGAATTTGAATTATATTTCATTAAGCAACAACAGATTTTATGGTGAGCTTTCTCCGAAGTGGGGGCAATGTCATAATCTAACAAGCCTACAAATCTCCAATAACAACATTTCTGGAAAGATCCCACTAGAGTTGCAACATGCAACTCAGTTACAGGAACTCGAACTCTCTTCAAATCATCTTGTTGGTGAGATTCCCAAGGAATTAGGAGCATTGACATTGATGTTTCGTCTTCTGCTAAGTGGTAACCAACTTTCAGGCAAAATTCCACCAGAGATTGGAGTTCTTTCAAATCTACAACATCTTAACTTGGCATCAAACAATTTCAGTGGACCGATTCCTAATCAACTTGGAGACTGCTTAAAGTTATTGGACCTGAATTTGAGCAAGAATAAACTTGGAGAAAGCATTCCATTTTCAGTAAGCTATTTAAATGGTCTTGAAAATCTAGATTTAAGTCAGAATTTACTTACTGGGGAGATACCACAACAGCTTGCAAAATTACATTCCTTAGAAATGTTGGACCTTTCGCACAATATGCTGAATGGTTCCATCCCAAATTCTTTTAATGATTTGAAAAGCTTGACTGTTGTGAATATATCTTACAATCAATTAGAAGGCCTTATTCCTAATATTAAGGCATTTCATGAGGCTTCATTTGAGGCGTTAAGAAACAATAAAGGCCTATGTGGTAATGCCACAGGACTAATGCCTTGTGCTGTCGCTGCTTCTAGCAACGGTCATAGAAAAAGCTCCAAAGTCATCATTTTCATTGTGATTCCATTCTTTGGTCTTCTTTTTCTCTGTATCATGGTTGGAAGTATCCTTATTCTTTGCCAAAAGAACAGAACCAGAAAATCTGAGTCAATAGAGCCACAACTTGGAGAATTTTTCACATTGTGGGGATGTAATGGAAGAATACTCTACGAGAACATTATTGAAGCCACTGAAGATTTCAGCTCCAACAATTACATTGGTTCAGGAGGCTATGGAACTGTTTATAAAGCTGCGCTACCCATTGGTGAGGTGGTTGCTGTGAAGAAACTTCACCAATCTGAAGATAGCATGACTTCGAACAACTTGAAAGCCTTTGAAAGCGAGATTCATGCTTTATCAGAAATAAGGCATCGTAACATTGTGAAGCTGTATGGCTTTTGTTCACATCCAAAGAACTCATTTTTGGTTTATGAGTTTGTAGAAAGGGGAAGTTTGAGAAAGGTGTTAAGCAACAAGGATGAGGCAATGGAGTTGGATTGGGAGAAGAGGATAAATGTTGTAAAAGGAGTGGCCAATGCCTTGTCTTATATGCATCATGACCATTCACCACCAATAATTCATCGAGACATTTCCAGCAACAATGTTCTTCTGGATTTGGACTATGAGGCTCATGTTTCAGATTTCGGCACAGCTAGGCTTTTAAAGCCCGACTCTTCCAATTGGACTTCACTTGTTGGTACTTTCGGGTACATAGCTCCAGGTATTTATTAATATCTCTTTTTTTAAGATGCTTTAAATATGTCATCATTCAATTAAAAGTGTTAGTTTTGTGTGCAAATTGATGTGTTAAAACAAAGTGCAAGTAGTATTAAGATTGTAACTTTTCAAATTTAAGTATCAAAAAATTTTACTCTAATTCAAGTATCAAATGTGTAATTAATCTTTGAAGTTTAACACTTAAGATTGTAACTTTTCAAATTTAAGTATCAAAGAATTTTACTCTAATTCAAGTATCAAATGTGTAATTAATCTTTGAAGTTTAACACTTAATTTTTCAATATTTAATATATCAAACTGATGAACTAAATATAAAATCTTATTTAAACCTTTGAATTTCAATTTTCATGTAATCTTCTAAACATTCGCAATTTCTTTTCAACATTATTTTATAATCTTCTTAATATTCTTAAATAATAGTGTATTTGATTAGATATATTTATTGCTTAATAGAGCATATTGATTAGAAATATTTCTTTAAGCAGAGTTGGCTTATACAATGAAAGTGGACGAGAAATGTGATGTTTATAGTTTTGGGGTGCTAACAATGGAAATACTTATGGGGAGGTATCCTGGTGATTTGATTTCATGTTTGCCATCATCGTCATCAGCACCGGCATCAACTTCGACATCGATACCAAATGACAACCAACTGATTTTATTTAAAGATGTGATAGACCAACGCCTCTCACCACCGGTGAGGCAAGTTGCAAAGGATGTTGTCTCTACTACAAAGCTAGCATTTACATGCTTGAATGACAGACCCCAACTTCGGCCAACCATGCAACAAGTTGCTCAAGCTCTTACCCGTCAATCACTTCCTTTGCCCAATCCTTTCTCAATCATAAAATTAGGAGAATTATGGGATCATGAAGTCTGCAGTGGCTAATATTAAGGTGCTAACAATTTGAATAATAATTCTAAGTGCGTGTGTTTGCTTTCAATCTATTGCTTTCTCTCTTCTTTGTATTGAAATGTTTAAGCACTCTAGTAATAAAGCTTTTATAGTGAATCGGTTCTGATATAAATTAACTGTGTTTAAGCCTGTGATATAGAACAACTGTGTTTAAGCACTCAATTTGTATGTTTAAGATTTCCTATTTTTGAAATGCAACTAATGGCCAGACTTAGAATTTTGACTTTCAATATCAGGTGTAATAGTCTACTGTAGTATCGATTTGCTATAGTACTTTTGCTTTGGAATGTTACAGCAATTATAATATCACTTTTTTATTTGTTTGAACAAACAAAGAATACAATTGGTGTGCACACCAAATTACAATAAACACAACTTCACAAGATAACCTTTTGATTTTATTATTTACTGGCCATTTATTCTTATACACACTCATACACATTATTTCTCACAATTTCATCCTTCCAAACTTTCATCATTCACTATCTTTTAAATCATTCAAAATTTAATTATAATTGTATTGAGTATACTTAAAACGGAATTGAGTGACGATTTTGAAGAATATACCTTTAACTTGTACTTTTTTTTACTAAAATGCTAAAAATGTTGTTCTCAAATTTCTCAGATAAACTTTTATCTATTTTTTTATCCAATTGAAAACATAAAACATTATTCTTATTTAATTAAGTCTTGTTTTGCATGAAAACCACTAAAATTCATTATTTTTACCATATCAACAGTAATAATTATCTTTGTTAAATCAAATTTTGCATTGCAAAACATAAAAATTTAAGTTGAACTGTTGTTTACATAATATGTAATGAATGGCTCATATAATAGGTCATGTTAGCATCTAAAGAGCTTTTTTATTTTCATTATATGCTATGTAGATGTTGGCATCATAAAAAGAAATACGGCATATATGTTGATTTGGCAAGAAATAATATTATTTTTTGTAATTTTCATCGAAGAAAAAGAGCTTAATGAAACAAAATTATACTCAAATTGAATTAGACAAAAATAAATTTTTTAAGGACTTAATTAGATATAATTGAAGGATGGAGACTTATATGAAAATTTCATGTGGCTGACAAGTCATTGATGACATTGAATTTCAACCCTGTTGTTAGTCTTCTATTCAAATTTTGAAAAAAATAAAATTTGGTGATATGATAAGATAGTCTTTTACTCATGAAGAAAAGGGGAAGACTTGAGGATTTGAGTTCCAAGAAACAATGTACCGTTTGTTTGGAGGAGTTCTTGGTTGGAGACGAAGTTGCCTCGATGCCTTGCAGGCATATTTTCCATGATGATTGCATTGTTAATGTCATAACATATAGATCCAAAAATCTATAGCTAGACTTAACAAATGGAGTCACCACCAATCTTTTTTAACTAGGTGTGATTGGCTACCTAAGGAATCTATCATTTTAAGAAACTCCTAAGCTTGACTAAGGGTCCCTAAAAGAATAGGTTTGGCTCCACAAACCAGAATAGGGTTTGAGAGTTCGGTTACATATAAAGAAGGTTATAGCACCCCTCATGCCCATCCGAAGGATGGTGCCATATTATTTTAAATTTATCCTAGGGTCTTAATTATAATGGCTTCAAATTTATATGTTGAAGTATTGAAAACAATTCATAAGATTCTTCCATTAATCTGATAGAATTCTTAAAAATATTTTCTCACTTCAAGAGTATTCAAGAATCCCATTTATTTTCTTAAAAAGGCACTGTCGTTGGAAAAAAAAAGTCTAATCATTTTTATTATTTTTTTTATTAAAAATATATCTAATTATTCCACCATTTGGGCCTATTTAGAAACTTTTTTTATTTATCTTTCTTTTTTGGATTTCTAAATTTCCCACCATTTGGGTCAATTCAGAAATATTTTCTGTTTCAGAATTTCTAAATTTTTCACCATTTGGGCCTTAGAAATTCTTTTTTTTTTTTGGAAAGAAAATAATATGAAAATTATTTTTCTTGAAATTTCATTTAAATTCTTCCACTATTTGAGACAAATTTAAAGAAATTTCTCACCTAGAGATTCTTAGGAATTTACCATTTGAAATTTCTAAGAATCTCATACTTGAATAATTGTCAAATTTTTTCAACCAAATTTTTTTTGTTTTTTTTGTTTGAAAATAAATATTAATTGTTGTTATTGAAACTTTACTAAATTATTCCATCATTTAGGACAACTTTATAGAAAAATTCTCTCATAGGAATTTTATAGAAATTTATCATTTGAAATTTCTAAAAATTTCATCATTAGATAATTAATATTTATTCTCAAAAAATTATTTTATTATTTTATATTTTTGTTATTTTGTTATTTTTATTTTTCTAAAATTTAATCATGTAAAAATATTTTTAAAAAATTAAATAAAATAGAAATAAAAAAATATCTAAAACAAGAAACGACACGGCTTTAGTAGTTGCGGCACGACTCGGCTTCAAGGAGGAACAGTGGCTAGAAAAGGCATGGCTTGTGGCTTGGCTCGGCTCAAGCAAAGGACAGTGAAGCAGGTCACCAACAGGTCAACGTTATGGGTTGGGTCACCTGATTGCAAAACGCGCTGAACCCGGCTTAATAAAACACCCAAAATGACATCATTTTGAGATGGTATAAAAGCCCAAGTTCCAACCTTTTTCCTTCATATTTCTACTTCCCCCCTCTCTCTCTTCCCCTTTCTTTTCTCTCATTCTCTCTCTAGAAACCCCTAAGAATATCAATTGAATTCATCAAATTTTGAAAAATCTTACTAAAATCTGGGTTATTCATCGAAAGTTCACTGAAAAGTTCACCGGTTTCTAGAAAGCAGCTGTCAAAAATTGGGAAACTTGCCAGAATCTAGGAATGTGGTTGAAAAATCATCAGAAAATTCAATCGACACTAAAAAATTCACCAAAAAACTGGAAATTTTCTAGAAAAATTCCAGAAAAAGAAAACCTATTTTTTCTAAAAAATTTTCCCTAACAATCTTCAACATTTTCTAACTACTTTTCTGTCTTTCTACATATGTCTTGTTTCTATGTCTTTTTGGATTCTAATCAGTGGGTATTTATAAGCTTAATCAAAAGAATTTCTAATTAATCCTGACTCCTTATTTGATAAGGTTTTAGTATTATCAGAAAATAAAAAATCAATCTTTAGACAGACTGAATCCAACTCAACCCTACCAACCCCCAATTCATGGCAAAATTATTTTTTATTATTATTTTTAAACCTTTTTTTTATTTTAATCGTTATCTAACAAAAATTGATAAATAAAATAGATAAATAATAAAAAAAATATAAAATTATGAAAAGTAAAATAATAAAATGAATAACATAAATGAATGATAAATAAACTATTAAACTCTCAGGCTTGATCATTGACCCCATTGGACTAGGCCTAATTGATTTGGGCCTGGACTAAAATGGGTGTCTACAGCTGCCCTTCTTTACACATTTCCTGTGCAATAGAAATTGTGCAAAGATGTAGACAATCTACATATGATCAACCCCACACATTCTCTCACTTTTTTTCCCAAACACTCATTTTTTGTTTCTTTGTTTTTTTAGACTCTCAAATTGGCTAAATGACATAAGACTCCCTTAAGCAAAGGCTCACAACTTTTGGAAAAATAAATAAAGCTCCTTTAATCAGAGGCTCAATGACTTTGAAAAATAAATATTGCTCCTCTAAACAGAGGCTCAACGAATTTGAAAAATAAAAGGCTCCTTTAAATAGAGACTTAACGACTTTGAAAAGTAAAAGGCTCCTCTAAATAGAGGCTCAACAACTTTGGAAAAATAAATAATGTTCATCTACACATAGGCACAACAACTTTGGAAAAATAAAAACTCCTCTAAACAGAGGCTCAACAACTTTGAAAAATAAAGGCTCCTCTAAATAGAGGCACAACAACTTTGAAAAATAAAGGCTTTTCTAAATAGAGGCTCAACAACTTTGAAAAATAAATAATGCTCCTCTAAACAGAGGCATAATGACTTTGAAAAATAAAAGCTCCTCCAAATAGAGGCATAACAACTTTGAAAAAAATAAAAGCTCCTTAACCATCATGTCCAGAGGAGTCATAAATCAAGTCTGATGAAATTTGTAATGGAAACTCAAAAATTCACAATTTGAGTTCAAAATTCAAAGGTTTAGATTTGCAAAAACCTTTTAGCTTTGTAAGAATTAACTGAAATTTGATACTTAAAATTTCAATTTCATAAGAATTTAATTCACAAAATTTCATATATACAAGAATTCAAATTTGCAAGATTTCAAGATCCACATTTGTGAGATCTTCATCCAAAGTTTTAATTCAAGGATTTGCATGTAAATTTCAAGGCACACATCTAACATTTAAAGATTTCCATTCGAATTTTAGAGATTCACATCTAAAAGTTCAAAGTTTCTCGTTCAGTAAATCTTAGAGTTTCACATTTCAAAGATTCTAATTTGAAATTCAAAAATTCTCATTAGAGAACTCAAAAATTCTCTTCAAAAGATTCATAATTTCTTTTTCAGGTGACTCAAAATTTTGCAAGTAATGAATGTCATGATCAATGATGCAAATGCTTTCTTAATTATACAAATGCGACAATCTAGATTCTCACAATGCCATATTCTCAATCATGATTCAAATATTTACTGCATAATGCAAATGCATAGCCAAACCAAAGTTTCAAATATTCTCCAAACAACAATGCAAATATAATGCATGTAATACAGATATCCATGTCATAAAATTCTAATTAATTATGGTAATATGGTTCTCAAAACTCTATCATCTCACATTTTTCTTTTTCAACTTCTCAACACCGACCATTTAGAACAAGTTCTATCAATTGATACTTGACCACAATTCACAAGCTTTTCAACACTAGCAATTTCAAAACAAATTTTATCTATTGATCGATCTATTTTCACCATAATTCACAAGCTTTTCAACACTAGCCATTTTAGAATAAATTCTAT